TTTTTTTTGTTCAAATAATGATTGGTTCTATATGTGCCAGCTTTCGGGTCGGTGCTTACGAATTTTGTACCAGGTAAAATAGGGATGTGCAGTGTTGCAGGAAGAAAGATGTTTCATTCATGATATGTAGTAGGTCAACATTCAGTAGATTTTGCGGCTTTTGGCTTTGTACAAAACAAAACAGAAGTGTTTATATCACTCACGAATTCTCGCCTTAATTAATTACCTGCTGGATAGTTTATCAGCCCGTTCCATTTGACCTATCCAATGTTCTACTAGATCAATAGCAACTATCACGAGGTTTTTTTTTCGCGCTTTTAGGTAAGACTTTGTTGTAGACATTTCAATAAGAAATTAACGCAGCCACTTTTCAAGCTAGTGTAGGAACTTCGCCTTTAATCAAGAAGTAAATCAGAATCCATGCTCTGTTAGGTTGAGGCCGTTTTGTTGGTTGAAATATCCACAAGATAAATCACATGACATTTTAGGAAATGTTTCCTCCTAATTACCTCGATGCTGTCAAGTTGGCTCTACTAAATGAGCCCGTATATCATGGAAAACAAACCGTGGAAGCAGTACTGCAAAAACTGCAGAAAGATGGAGAGTTTTTATTACAGGTTGGTGGTTTCCGTTAATTTAATGCCATAAAATTCTTCTGCAGGACGGTGATAGTGCTAACACAATAATACTGTCTGTATTCAAAGAAGTTGTGCGTGACTTCTTAATAACCATTGAACAGGTATGCTGAACGCCTCTTACTCAATTTCTCAAGTTTTTTCTCGAAAATTTGTGGACATTGTGAGATTTTTGAAAGTTGTATTGTGCATTTTTTTCGAGGTTGGAGACAGCCACCGCTTTGTAGTTGGAACACAACGCTTCGAAAGCATATCAGAAATGCTGTCCGAATTGAAATCAGTGCGTTCTGGCTCAGAAACGTTGGAACTGGATACAGCTATGTGCCGAAATGACGGTAGAACCACTCTGTTTATATTAATACCTCAAATATTCTATAAACAGTTCGAGAGCTGTGTCCACTGATCTGCCGAGAATAGGTAGTGGAGCAGGGGTAGATATATGGCAAGTACCTTTCAGACTGAGCACGAAAAAAGGCAAGAAAGCAGCGAAATAGCGATAAAGTTTTGTGACCTCTGATTTCTACCAGATAGGCGGCTGGGGGGCGGGACTTCAATCGACTAGAGAGCGGCGCAGAAGAGGCAAGCTCTGCATTTCTCTCGCTTACGTGCTCTCTAATCAATCCGGCTCCGCCCTCCAGCCGCCTATCTGGTTGAATCAGAGGGTATG